TCTTTTTGCTTTTTCATTTTCAATTTTTTTTTGTCTTGTTGTATTTGGTACATTTTGTATATGTAAACAAGACAATAAAAACCAAACAAGATCGGCATGCAAGTTTGTGCTTTTGTTCATCATTAATTTAGGGCATAAAAGTGAATGCAACATATATAAACTTCGATATTTGCCACGTTGTGTGATCACAAATCCCTTTATATTGTTTTCCTAACAATTAATGCAAACCATAAACAAGAATTTTCTTTCAAAGACTTAAATACATTTTACATATAAAATAAAATCCATATATGTTCTATGTAGGCAATGGACCAAACGACAGTAGAAAGCTGAAAAGTTAGTTCATAAACCAAAAATAATAGCAATGCATTATATTACTGAATGGTGGAAAATGAAAACATAGATAAATAATATCAATGCATTATATTCATGCGTACCTCCCTCTGTTTTCGTTTATCGAGTTTCGTCATATGTCTAGATAAAAAAATACTCTTACTGACTCTCTTGCAAAAGAAGCAGCCCATGTTTGGTCGAAAGTAATGTCTTGAGCTTTGAATGAATGAAAATCCCTGTTGTCCAAAAAAAGATAAATAATAGTATCAAAAAGGTAATTCAAAGAAAAAACTCTTTTTTGCCAACTAGGTGAAGTGATACTAAAAATTCATTATCTTATTTGGTTTTATATCACAAAATTTCAGGCTTCATGTCCATATTCTCGCAATTATAACGACTTAATTTAAAACTTTTTAAATTTGTGTTGGCAAATTATTAGTATGATTTTTGTTTTATACCAAATTGTTTAGATAGTGTCGAAAGGCGCCTTAGCCCTTAGGATTGTGATTTGTGAACGACTCTTATGACCTTATGCTTTGTCTGCCTCTAATTTATTGTCAATTTGCCTCCTACGTTAATGGCAATTCTCTCTTCCATACAAATTTCGCTGAATATATTTTTACTTCATTTTGAACATTTCCACTATTATTTTTAAGATCAAAATATAAAATTATCAAAAGATGGTAGGAACTTGGAAGAAAACGAATATCGTTTTTTATGTATTTTCTTGTAAGGACAAGAAAGCTTACAAGTGCTCTACAATTCTGTGCATGAGGTTTTCAAAATATCATGATTTGAAGTGTGGGCCAAAGTTAAACTTTACAGATGGATTTATATATGCTTTACAATGTTTTATGTATCTACTATCCAATAAAGTAAATTGCTAAGATCAGGTATATATATACTTTGGGCTAAAATGCGTCTAGCTAATAGGTCCCAAAATAGGTTAATTAGGCGATGGTAATTTCCACCGATCTAAAGTTTTTGTTATAAACTAAAGGTATACTAGTTCATTTCTAGATATGACCCAATCCCAAAAACTATATATATCCACCACTACAAGAATTTAACCACATAGTTACAAATTTCTTTGTAGCAAAACATGTAGCTATGTTCTCATATTCTTGTAGTGCACAGCCTCCATTATATTGTTCATTTAATTTGTTTGCTACTATATTATTTTCTAAAAAATATTCGCCAATGTATTTTCTCTATTTAACTACCAGTGGGACTTTGATCAAACAAAAACTTACAATTATGCACTAAAAATATAAGTCTGTGTTTTTTTGGTATTACGAGACCATTATGGGCAGGTACCTTTTACTCACATCGATGAGTGTTTAGTTTTGTTAATACTTGCATGAGCAGAAGCCAAAAAACGTTATATGGGCTATCGAAAGCATAACAATTTTCAAATATCTCGAGTTGTCTTGATTTTGGAGGGTGTGG